AAAAAAAAGAAAACCCTAAAGACTCCACCAAAAAACTGTTGGAAGTAATAAATCAATTCAGTAAAACTGCAGGATACAAAACAATATTAAAAAATCAGTTGTGCTCCTATATACTAAAAATAAACTATCAGAAAGACAAATTAAGAAAACAATCCCATTTACAATAGCACCAAAATGAATAAAATACTTAATAAATTTAACCAAGGGGGTGGAAGATCTGTTGATGAAGAACAACTGTGATTGATGAAGGAAAACGAAGAAGATACAAATAAATGGAAAGATATCCTGTGTTCATGGATTGGAATAATTAACATTTTTCAAAATGTCCACATTACCCAAAGTGATCTACAGATTCAGTGCAATCCCTACAAAATTCCAACGGCAGAAACAGAAAAACAATCCTAAAATTCACATGGACCCAAAAAAGAACCTGAATACCCAATAAAATCTTGAGAAAGAAGAACAAAGCTAGAGGAATCACACTTCCTGATTTCAAACTATAGTAATCAAAACAATATGGTACTGGAATAAAAACAGACACACAGGGCCCAGTCCTGTGGCCGAGCGGTTGAAGTTCTTCATGCTCTGCTTTGGTGGCCCAGGTTCATGGGTTCAGATCCCGGGCACGGACCTACTCCACTCACCAGCCATGCTATGGTGGTGTCCCACATATAAAGTAAAGGAAGACTGGCACAGATATTAGCTCAGAACTAATCTTCCTCAAGCAAAAAGAGAGGAAGATTGGCAATGGATGTTAGCTCAGGGCGAATCTTCCTCAGAACCAAAAAAGCAAAAAACAGACACACAGACCAATGGAACAGGACAGAGAGGCCAGAAATAAACTCATGCATGTGGTCAACTAATCTTTGACAAGGGCACCAAGAATACACAATGGGGAAAGGATAGTCTCTTTAATAAATGGTGCTGGGAAAACAGGATATCTACATGTAAAAGAATGAAATGGGACCATTACTTTATACCATACACAAAAATGAACTCAAACTGGATTAAAGACTTAAATGTAACACCTGAACCTATAAAACTCCTAGAAAACATGGGAAAAAGCTCTTTGACATTTGGTCTTGGCAATGATATTTTGGATATTACACCAAAAACACAGCCAACAAAAGCAAAATAAACAAAATGGGATTGCATCAAACAAAAATGTTTCTGTACAGTGAAAGAAATATCAACAAAATGACAAGGCAACCTACAGAATGGGAGAAAATATCTGCAAACCATATATCTGATAAGGGGTTAATATCCAAAATTTACAAGGAGCTCATATAAACCAATAGCAAAAAAGAATAATAATAACCCAATCAAAAACTTGGCAAAGGGCCTGAATAGACATTTTTCCAAAAAAAGACATACAAATGGCCAACAGGTACATGAAAAGGTGCTCCACATCACTAATCATCAGGGAAATGCAAATCAAAACCACAATGAGATATCACCTCATACCTATTAGGATGGCTATTATCAAAAAGACAAGAGGTAAGTGCTGGTGAGGAAGTGGAGAGAGGGACCCCTTGCACACTGTTGGTGGCAATGTAAACTGATACAGCCATTATGGATGACAGTATAGGAGTTCCTCAAAAAATTAAAAAGAGAACATATGGTCCAGCAATACCACTTCCAGGTATCTACCCAAAGGACATGAAATTTATCCTCGAAGAGATATCTGCACTCCCGTGTTTATTCCACAACTGCCAAGTTATGGAAACAACCTAAGTTTCTGTCAATGGATGAATGCATAAAGAAATCATGGTATACATATGTATATACATAATGGAATATTATTCAGCCATAAAAAAAGGAAATACTGCCATTTGTGACAAGATGGATGAACCTGAAGAACATTATGCTAAGTAAAGTAAGCCAAACAGAGAAAGACAAATACTGTGTGATCTCACTTATATGTGGAATCTAAAAAAGTTGAACTCTTAGAACCAAACAATAGAATGGGGTTGCCAGGGGCTAAGGGGTTGGGGGAAATGAGGAGACGTTGGTCAAAGGGTACAAACTTTCAGTTTAAGTTGAATAAGTTCTAGAGATCTAATGTACAATGTGATGTTCACAGTTAATAATACTATTGTATTGTATACTTGAAATTTGCTGAGAGAGTGGATCTGAAGTTTTCTCACCATAAAAAAAAAAATGGCAACTATATGACGTGGAAACAAAATCATTGAAGATATTCTATGATAATGATTTATTCACCTATTTAATTTCAAGACAGCTAAACCTCAAATATAAAAAATAAGTGTCAACAGATAATGGCAGTATCATTGTAATCATTCATTCGAACCTTCCTCTCACCCACCAAAAAAAGCTTTCCTCAACTAAAAAGTAGGGAATTATTCTTTGGAACATATCCCTGTCCCTATGCAACTTTTAATGATGGTGTTCATGAACAATGAGATATTTAACTATACCCTAAATAGTTTCCTATGATTTACAGAAGCTACCTAATCAAACTGAGTAAAGACTTTATAAGCCAGATATTTCAAAGCCAGCAATGTCCAATAGAAGCTTCTAACAACAGCCACACGTGGCTACTAAGCACTTGAAATATGGTTAGTGTGGCTAAGAAACTGGTTTTTTAATTAAATTGAACTGAATTTTAATAGCCACATGTGGCTAGTGACTACTGTATTGCACAGTGTCATTTCAAACTATTAAAAATTTCCAATACGAACAAGCTGACTAGACCCTGTGATTTGATGTAGAAGCTCTATGTATAGTATAATATCTGAACCATTATCTTACATCCATTACTAATTATATACCCACTATTACTGTTTTTAATTCTATTAACTCTTATGTGTTACTTACTTGGGTATAGACAACATGGCTTTCAAGGAGTATTTAGACTGCTGTTTAAGGCGATCTTTCAGTTCTTCAAGTTTTTGTACCTGCTTTACTACTTGTGCAATGTTTAAAGTGACTGTTTTGTCAGGTACAGGAAACTCTGCTTCTGAAAAAGTTTGATCTTTACTTATCTAAAATAATAAAATTAGCCAGTTACTTAGGAAATACTCATTTTGCTCCCATACCTCAAAGAAATTTCATTTCATTTATCATATCTAAATAATTTTTATAATATTCTTATCTATAGCTATATCAAATACTAGTATTTTACAAACATATTTATATGAGCAATTGCCTAGCAACTAATTATAGCTAAATGTTGACTTTTACATGTCAAAACTCGAATCCAATATTCTGTTTCCTATTTTAATATATAAGAATTTTAAGCAAGTTCAATAACAATTGTAGGAGGATCACTTAAAGGCAATTCAAAATATTTACAAGAGAATTCAAAAATAATTGCTTCCCCCAAAATCCTTTCTAAAAATACTCTTACTGTGATAAATTATGGAAAGACAGTAATTTGCTCTCAAAAGACAATATCTTCTACTACTAACTCCCCGAAGTTAATATATAAAGGTCTATGGAGTTGGCATTCCTCAGTCTGCATGGGGAAGACTGAGACCCATTTGGGTGTCTCAAGCCTTTTGGAACAGATCAAGCTACAGAGTAATGAGCAGCTGGGAGAATCAATAAGATCCATAGAATAAGATGACAGACCAAATTGGTATTCTAGGCAATAACTATTTAAAGAAAGTTCAGCAAGAATGAGTGCCCAAAATACCACAATGAAAGAAACTAGAAACAGCCAATATGTGGAGACATAAACAAGCAGAGTAGCAATTGAGGTCAGGAAGTTTTGACAGGAGAAAAGCACAAATCCACCCACGTAGACACCTCCAATACTTATGATGGGAGGGAAAGCTGAAAAAAAAGGAGTCAAGGCATAGTCCTACAACCTAGCAAAGAGAAATTCTAGCATTGGGAATTTAAAACAGAGACCTCATTTTAGTAATGGTTACTTGGAATGGGGTTAGAATATAACAGCAGGAGGTGAACACTGAGCAATGTACTGAAAGTCTGAGATTGGGAAGTGGAACAGATGGAAGGAAGCAGGAGATGTATGGAAATTCTATGGACAAAGGCAAGATCCCAAAGAAAAAAACACCAATAATAAATTGAATCTAAAAAGTTATATAGCAGTCACCTACAGTTATCAGTTTACTGCCTCTCATCTGTACTGTCCTGCTTTTAATAGTAGAACATTTCTCTCTTGACAGGTTGCATGTTAACCTTTGTCAGTAGAGGGTCCTAGACACTATAGGAGGAAGAAGCTTTTCTTCCTAGTTCTATCATCTCTCTCTGCTTAATCCTAGGGCAGTGCATATTATTGTGCACCTAGTATTGCTTACCTCCAGCAAGTTTCAACGCACCACCCTCATGAGTAGCTTCCTGGCAAGGTCCTTGGCATGGAACACTCCCATAGGCAGCTTCTCCCAGAACTTCTAGGCAAAATCCACCAGGGCAGAACCTCTCTTTGGGAAGCTTTCCAGCATACCACCCTTGTGAACAGCTTCCCAGCAAGAGGTACAGCACCTCCATGGAAGATGGCTTTTCCCAGCACCAAAGAAGATGGCTTTCCAATGTACCACACTCATGGGAAGCTTCCCAGTGAGTTCCAGTTCCACCAGCATGGCACCCCAGCAAACCTCTCTGCCATACAGTGATGACAACTGCTCCTTCTTCACAAGGTCTGGATCTTAGCCCTGGGTTAGGGGTATTCAGATTTGTTCCTTCCTTGAGCGCTCTGCTTCCATCCTAAAGGTAGAAGCTGCTTCCAAATCTTCTATCCCTGTACTGTTCAGAGTTGTCTTTACCTCTTTAGTAGGTATTCTCCTGTTATAATAATTCTTTATGGGAAACTTTCCCTATTCAAATTACTGTGTGGTGTTTGTCTCTTGATTAGACCCTAACTGATACAGTATATTTCCCAATAGGGATTAAATTTGAACATAAGTCCTTTCTAGGAGAAGAGATGATGTCACAAAACTAAAGGAATTGGAATAGACAGTGTGATTATCAGCTATAAGACTTCATCAAAGAGACCAACTGGGAACAGGTTCCAGCAGAACAACTCTGAAGCATATAGGCTACATGCTTATCCCACATTTCTCTGCTGCAGCTAGCCACACATTCTTGAAGGCTTCAACATGTATCTCTATATCTCTGTTAATGCAACATGGCATTAACCTCACCATCAGGCATTAACCTCACCATCATGTGCTGACAATAAAATGTGTCAACAATAAAAACAAGATTATTCCAAGATTCTGAAACGTTAATGTGCATAATAATCCTCTAAAGGAACCTGAAAAAGAGGCAGATTCCTAACCCACACACACACACAAAAAATCTTTAATTCGGTAAGTCTGATTCAGAGCTCTGAAGTGTGCATTTATAACAGGTACCTTGGGTGATATTTAAACATGATCCATCAATGACACTTTAAGAAACAATCCTCAAAAGGCAGAAGATAATACAAACACTTATGCAATGTATTTGATACACCAAATTAAGAAAATATTAAAGAGAAGCAATTATGGGTTTAAATATTGAAAACCTTGAAATTCCAGACCAGAAGTTTAGTTGTGTACTGAAGACCTCCCAGTGAATATGAACGCATAAATCAGGATTTCAGGCATACTGGAGATGATAATAATTGGCGCTAAAGCGTAAACAGTAGATACAGAGAAAAGTAGACATATTGGACATCTATTTAGGACATAAAATCAAAGGACTCAGGATAGATTGAATGTTAAAGACAGATGGAATTGAGTTGTCAAGGTAAATTACCACATATCTGGTTTACCCAATTGGATAGATGGTACTACCATTCACAGAAAGAAGGAACACTGGAAAAGGTACGAGTCCAGGGGTAAAAAATTCTTGATTTTGATCCATTGGGTTTGAGGTGGAATACTCTAGTGGGTAATTATATACACTTGTGGAGTTCAGAGGATGGTTTTGAATGAAGGTGTATATTTCTAAATTACCAGTATAAAGGTAATATTTGAAAGGAAAAACTGGATGAGATTGCTAGAGGAAAGGCCGGAGTAAAAAAGAAAAAAAGGAAGGCATAGGATGAAATCTTGAGGCACTCCAACATTTAGTGGTTAGATAAAGAAGGTGACTCCAAAAAGGAGACAGCCAAAACAGTGAAACAATAGCCAGGAGAGTGTAATTCACAAAAGCCAAAGAATAGTGTTTTAAAAATGAGGAAGTGATCAATAATGTCAACTATGGCTAGGGTAAAGAAAATTCCCTGTTGAATTTAACAACATATCAATTGTGGAAAGCCATACAGAATGTTTTCTTTGTTATGGGAACAGAATCGAGTCTGGGTAGGCTGAAAAATGCTCTGGAAGTAAGAACAGAGTACATAGTAAATCAGCTCTGAAGCTGTAAAGAATGGTCCTCATCTAAACTGCTAAGATTTTATAGAAAATCCATAAACAACTCCAATTGTTTTGTTTGATACCCTAGTTGGCTTTTTCAAGGAGAGAATGTCCAGATTAACCTCTTTACTAGGTGCCAGTTTATCAGTTGATTAACACTTTAAAAAAAAAAAAATTTGACTAGTTTCATTGTTCCTAAACTATCTGCAAGGTTTTTCTCTCTTCTCTTTTATAAATTTTCTCTCTTCTCTTTTATTCCCTGATAATAATCTAATAACTATTTCCCTCATGTGAGTAAATTTGCATACAAAATAGCTTTTAAAAATTGGTTATGAAAGGCAAAAGAGAAATAGGTCTGTAACTGGAAGGGAATGTGGCATCAAATTAGAGAGACATTAGCATAGTTAAAAATTGAAAGGAAGGACACAATTGAATGGAAAAATACAATATACAAGAGGGAATGATTAATCAAATTTCTTAAGAAGACAAGACGAGATGAGATTCAAAACAGAGGTAAAAGAATGAGTCTTATGTAGGAGGAGGAACAATATCTCTGTTTAACAGGAGAAAGGAAGATAGAATGAGTATGGATATAAACAAGTTTTTGTTTAGCAGCAGGAATTGAAGGCCTTCTAACAAGTGGCTTGTATTTCAAGCATTTCAAGTGAATGTGCGAGAGTGAAGAAGAAAATGATATGGTGGTGGGGGCACTGAGATGACGGCTGAAAAGGGTTGAAATTCATTTCAGAAATGCAATAGCATTGCCAGGCAGTATTTGGAGTAATTGTGTCTAACCTATTGTGTTACTTTCTTCAACAGTGTTTCACAGCTAGATGATAGGCTCAAAGAATAAATAATTTCATTTATTCAGGGTTAAGTTTTGTTAGACGAAGGCATCGAAAAGAGAAAGAGGTAAAGGAGATTAGAAAATTAAGAAATTCACTGCAATAAAGTACACAATCTCCAGGTTGAAAAGAAAGATGAGTAAAAAGACTGCAAGAAGGTAGAGGAATAAATGCACTGGTGGTCTTGATGAAGTCAAAGAGTGGCCAGAGCAAAATTTAAAGTAATAATTGGAAAGACAGAAATTTGTAGTTCAAGAATGAGCTGGCTGAATTAGTGATCTTTAAAATAAAGCAATTTGGTTAATGATAAGGTTGAGAGTGTGACTGGAAGTCAGGGCGAGAGGTAAAGATGGACACTAGATCTTCGGAGATGAGGAGGTCAAAAACTGAGAGGCCAGGGTTTTGAATGGATCTTGCACATTGACAGGTCTAAGAGTAAAAAGAACAGAGTGAGATAAATCCATGAATAAAATAAATTAAAGACGTTGGTAGGTGAAAATAAGAAGGCAGAAAGTAAGCTGAACTGCCCAAGTTGCAAAGAAGTACACTTTTTACAAGAGGGTAGAGGAATACTGGAATTCACTCCAATCCTACTTCTCTGGAAAGATAGAGAGCAGTCTACCATAGTCAAGGAAGAATTACAACACTCTTCCAGTGTCAGTCATATTCGTCCTAAAGCAAGGAGTGTACAGACCATGAAAGCCTTCTACTCTGCAGCCAGGGGTAAAATAATATAAAGGTGCTAGAAGACAATTACAATTTCTATTTTTACTCTTTAATTTTATATCCTAAGTATATGAACCTCTTTAAAGTACCTGGGCTTCATGAGTGTTTAACTGGACTAAACTGTAAGCGTAACCAAGGGAGAACTAGAACATTTCTATAAATCACTGAAGCTACCTTGGAAATCATTCTGCTATATTAACAGTATACATAAAGTCTTTTCCAAAATAGAATTAAAACCCCCTAAGGATAGAGACCAGTCATTCTTAAACTGGTGGAAAAGCACCTGAAAATCAAAAGTACAAAAAAAATCATTAAAATAACATTAAATTTAAAGAAAATCAATATATAATTTTATGAGTAAGAATGTATCAGGGAAAGAATAATAATTAAATTTCCCTTATTCAATTTTAGGAGACAATGTGTCAAACTCAGAGCATACCAGATGTATGCAAGAATGTAGTATGTAAATTACCCACGTATTCTTTCTCTACCTATATCAAAAGGTTATAACCAATGATTATTCAAAAATTTTTAACTTATACTTCAAACTGGTTTTCAAATGAGATAAAATATTAGTTTAATTAACAATTAAGAAATGCTATACTTACCTCTTCCATCTGATTGACCTGTCGCTGAATCCACTTGAAAAAAAAGGAACAGAAAAAAAAGTTATTGACAAGTTAAATTTCTGCAGTGAAATAAATGGGTACACACACGTGTGTGTGTCTGTGTATGTGCATATGTGTATGTGTATGCGTATGTGTGTGTGTGAATCTTCATCTATCAAATATTAGTCCTGAACCAAACATCATTTATCCTAGGGTTCAGAATGGAGCTAATGCAACATGCAACTAGAACATAAAATTTTAAATATATGTAGCAGCAAGTATGAGAGTTCTTTTTACCTCTTCAAAATTTAGAAACCTCTTCTTCATTTATACGCATTTCTGTATTAAATTTTAGTAGGCTTGAACTGCAACATATTGAACATACCTTAAAAAGAGATTCCAAAATCTGGAAAACAAAGTTTTAATTAAAACAGTTAAAAATAAAAATCTTCACAATGTATGTTATGATAAAATATTTAAGTCTCTTGCAATTTTCAATCACAAAAATGCACAAATTACTAAAATAAAACTATAAATTTATAATCCAAAATCATATTTTTATATTTACAGATAAGAGTTTTTAGTACATCTTGCATTAGACAACTTAGTTCTAGAAAAAAAATTTTTCCATCCTTATAGATCCATATCAGGAGACCCAAAATAATTCACATATATGATTTCATATATTTTCTTAATATAGGTAAAGAATAAAATTTAAATTCCTCTCAGAAAAGCATTATTTTTTTCATATAGCTGAGAGTACAGTAACGAAAAGTATTATCTCACCATCATTACCTCTTCAATACAACTGTGCTCTCCTAAAGGGCCTAAAAATCAAGATATAAAATATTATACTACTACTTGATATTTTTAATGGAAAATGCAAAGAACTGGTTTGGGAGATTGTGAAAGAAACTGAATATGCAAAACCAATCACACAGTCCAAAATACCAACATTTACCACTTAGAAAATGTAATGTTAAAATGACTACATCTGCTGCAAAAAAACAAACTCACTCTACCACATCTGGATAAAAGTTTTGAATTACATTATTAAGGAAAAATATTACCACATGCATTCATTCAGAAAGAAAAACTTAACTGAAAAATCAGGTTACTCTAAAATTTCTCTTTTGCAACACTAATTCTAGATCAATGGTTCAAAAAGTGTGGTCCCAAAACCAACAGCATCAGCATCACCTAAACAACCACATTTGTTAGTAACGCAAATTCTCAAGCAAGCCCCACCTCAGGCTACTGAATCCAAAACTCTGGGAGTAGGGCCAGCAATTTGTGTTTTAACTAGCCCTCCAGTTGATTTCTTTGCATGCTGAAGTTTGAGAATCACTGCACTAAATAATAAAAAAAAGCAGTGAGTCTGAGCAAAAATGGCTGAGACCCTTAAGAAAATATACCAAAGCAAATTAATGTCCATGTCTGAAGGAAAATATTTTCAGCTATGTAAGGATTTAGAAAGTAATGTCCACTAAGGCACACTACCTTGGAATAAAGTCATTCTTTCCTCTGAGAGATTCCAAGGTTCTCACAACCTCCTTTCCTGTCTCAGAAGATGATGGGAAACCCTAGTATACACCAATTCATCCACTCATTATAGCCAGAGTTCTACAACTATTTAAAACACTAAAAGCCTGGAGAACAGTGGCTTTCTCAACTACTGAGGAAACCCACATTATCAGTCACTGGTACTGCTGAATCTAGAAAATTACTGATAAAGGTAAGTGGCAAATGAAAATTGACTAGATGTGAGAAAAACGAACATTAGACAAATAACACTAAATAGAAAGAGAAAACTCTACAAAACTCTGATGCAACACCTATAAAGTTCCTAGGGAAAATATTAAACCACCATTCTAATTTTAAACATATTATCATTTAAGCGTGAAGTCAAAATGCAACTATTTTCAGAAATTTAAAGATTTAGAAACTATTTCACCACACATTCTAATGTAGCAAAACAAAAAATTAACTTTAGAAAAGTGAACCCAAGAAAAAACTATAAGCAGAGTATCCAGTAAATACCCTACTCTAAAAAATGGTTGTTAATGGAGCTGGCATTTAATGTAGTTGTTATAAAAAGCTTCTTAAAGAGAAGATGGCCTAATGTAAAAAAAAAAAAAAAAAAAAAGTAAAATAATAACAATCTGAAACTAACATTCCAGATAGGTATACCAGCCACAGCCAGTAGCCGTATCACAGTAGCCAAGAGAAGAGCATTTTAAGTAAAACAAAATGGTCCACAATGTCAAGCTTGCTGAGGTGTCAAGAAAGGTGTACAATGGATTTAACACCATGTCATTACTAAGGATAGTCATTACTATCCTTAGAGGGCTAGTTCAATGGACTCTAGGCGCAAAAGCCAAATTGAAGTACAGATGACTAGGAGAAAAATGAATATAAGTATAGGAATTTCTTCCAGAGGCCTGTTTGGGAAAAGGTAGAGCAATATAGGAAAGTCCTAGAAGGAAATGTGCACCTTGTTTAAAAAAACATTTTATTTTTTCTATGACATTAACATGCCATAATCACATTGCCCTGGTTACTAAAAATTACTAGAAGCATAGAATATATTTTGATATATTTATGGGCTGTTTGTATTTCCTCCTCTGTGAAATGCCTTTTTATTTCCTTTGAGCATTTTGTACTATCTTATACTTACTGATAGGTAAATATTATCTATATATTCTGGATAATCCTTTGTCAGTTATATGTGGTTCAAATATCTTCCCCTATTTGAAACTTCTCTTATGCCTCTCTTTATGAATTTTTTACACAATAGAGGTTTTAATTTTAATGTAGTTGAATTTATCAATTTTTCCTTTTATGACTTATATTTTGTTTTGTAATTGTTCTTTGCTCCAGGTTATAAAGACAGCCTCCTATATTTTTTTCTAAATATTTTATTGTTTCTTCTATTACACTTAGGTTTTTAATACATCAGAAAATGATTTTTGTATATACTATAAAGTAGGATCAACTTTTTTTTTTCCCCTCATAAATAATCAATTGTCCCAGAGCCATTCATTATATATGGCTCTGTCATTAATAAAATTTTTCTTATATGGAAGGATCCATTTCCAAGCCTTTATTCAATTTCATTGGTCTATGTAGTCTCGCACCAGAAGCATACAATTATAATTAATATAGCTTCATAAAAAATCTTCACATCTGCTAGATCAAGTCCTCTCACCTTGTTCTTTTTCTTCAGAACTCACTTGGTTATTCTTGGTCCACTGAACTTCTACATAAAATTCAGGATCAGTTGTAAATTTGCACCCCAAAAAATGTACTAAGGTATTTAGGGAGTAATGACAGCAAAAATGGCAGAATAGGGAACTCTAAGGGCCTATCCTCCACAGAAACACCAAAAAAAAAAGAAGAGCAAAAACTGTCACAATTGGGCCGGCCCTGTGGCTTGGTGGTTAAGTGCGCGCGCTGCGATACTGGTGGCCCGGGTTCGGATCCCGGGTGCGCATCGAGGCACCGCTTCGCCGTTCATCCTGAGGCCGAGTCCCACATACAGCAACTAGAAGGATGTGCAGCTATGACATACAACTATCCACTGGGGCTTTGGGGGGAAAAAAATAAAATAAATAAAATCTTTTAAAAAAAAAAAAACTGTCACAATCAACTTTGTCAAAATTCCGGAAAATGATCAAGGCTTTACAGGAACCAGGTAAGCCTGGATCAAAAAAATGCAGCTTAAACACCATAGGAGAATTTTGTGGCATTTTAAGATCCTTGTCCCACCCACACCACCCCCAGTACCCGGGCAGTCATAAAGACGGCACCCTTCATTCCTGGAGTGGGTATGTGGTTCCGAAGGAAACAGAGTGGACCTATTCCCAAGGAATTGTGTTGCCTGTTTTGACCTGTCTGGAGGTTCCCTGAAGGACCTGCAGCTTCTCCTTTTGTTTCATCTAATTTAGAACGCTCTCAAAGCAGAAAACCAGCTAAGTAGAGGGCATTCCTCAAAAACATTGAAAGAAAAATGAACAAACCACTGTTCTCGGAAGAAAAAGATTACAGTTGTGGCAAACAATATACATGTCAAAGCCTAGGAGGAAAAGCTGGAGAGAGAGTTACTTTGAAAAATAAGGATTCTGACAAGCTCCCATATATTAGGAGGAATCCAGTAAGCCACATACTTGCCCAGAACAGAACTCATGCTCAGAAAATATTTGAGTAGATGCTAAACTTTCACCTCTGACTGATCTCTAGCTCAGCACAAGCAGAAAATGAAGGCTAAGGCAGAGCTGTAAAGAGACTGGCTAAACTTTGAAGGAGTGCCCCAACACAGAGCCAATCTTCAAAGACCAGGAGAATACTTTTTTCTCCTTTTCTTTATTTTTTTGTGGCTCTAATAATTTAAGGAAATCTCTATCAAATCCACAAGCTATAGGAACAGAGACTTGAGAGATGAAATACAACAAAGAATACAGACTTCAAAAATAAATAGTTTAAACTTCTAGTTTCTATTCTGGCATTGAAGGAGCCTGGATTCATCACTCTGTCCTAACTAAAAGTAAAAAGCTGAACAAACTGAAAATAAACAACTCTTCTTAGATCCATCACAGAAATGAGGCAAACCATGGTTCCCAAAATTGGAGAGACAGACAGGTGATACTCAGAATTACAAATTCCTGGAGCAGAAATCTGAGACCAAACATCCACAGGAACCAGTACTAAGGCAGGAAAACCTAAACTATAAACGACGAATTGCTGGAGGCTCAGTGTGGACAAGTTTGAGAGCCAAAACCTGTGGGGTGGGGAGGGGGAGTTTTTAGGGGTTTCTTTAAAAACTAAACATACTCTTACCATATGATCTAGCAATCAAGCTCCTTGGTGTTTACTCAAACAAGTTGAAAATTTATGTCCATACAAAAACTTGCACACAGATGTTTATAGCAGCTTTATTCACAATCGTCAAAATTTGGAAGCAACCAAGATGTCATTGAGTAAGTGAACGGATAAACAAATCGGTACAACTATACAATGGGTTATTATCCTGCACTAAAAAAATGAGTTATCAATTCAAGAAAAGACATGTTGGAATCTTAAATGCATATTACTAAGTGAAAGAAGCCAATCCGAAGAGGCTACATACTGTACGATTCCAACTATATGACAGTCTGGAAAAGGAAAACATAAAAAGATCAGGGGCTGCCAGGGGTTGAAGGCGGCTGGGGGGATGAATAGGTGGATCACAGAGGATTTTTAGGGCACTGTATGATACTATAATTGTGGATACATGTCATTATATATTAGTTCAACCATAGAATGTACAACACCAAAAGGAACCCTTAAGGGGTTATGGACTTTGAGTGATAAAGATGTGTCAATACAGGTTCATAGATCATAAAAAAGACACCACTCTGGTGTATGATG